GTGTGTGTGTGTGTGTGCGTGTGCGTGTGTGTGTGTGCGCGCAGGTTCTCAGGCTGGCGCGTCGATGACACACTAAAGAGGCGAATCTGCTTCAGACTCAGTCTGGTGATCCGACGCTGGACCCTCGAACAGGTGCAGGTCTGTGGGAAACAGTCGGACAGCTGATCCAGGTGTGTGACGTGATGCCTCAGTGGGTTCAGTCAGCATGAGGAGTGGGTGGACGTCTCCTTCCCAGACCGCCAGGACTCATTTCCTCTGTATTTAAACGTGCAGCTGCTTTGAGTAAACTGGACTCAGGTGTGTCTTCACCTTCACATCCAGCAGGTCATTCTGGTTTCTGAGCGCTGACCTGCTGGAGTTACAGTTGCAGCTTTCCTGTGAGAAGCATCTCCAAACATCTGGCCTCCTTTTCTCCTCGGGCTGCTCCTCATGAACCTGGCTGTGAGGAGGAGATGGAGGTCACATTAATGATATAGAATAAGCTCATTACAGCACTACGAGCTCTCTGAAGAGGATTCACAGTCTGCACCTGACTGCATAATCTGAATTTACTTATTTGTCTAAGACCAAATGGAGCTCAGCATCGCTAAGCATCAGCATCATAACACCGTGTGCACGTGTCGCAAGAGCGCGTCTGTACAAGCTGAAGATTCGTGTTTGTGAGATTTTCAAAATAAAAGTCATTCAGGTTGGTAGATAAATGCATGTTTTAAATTTTAAAGCTGGACCTTTCTTCTCCATCCTCCACTGAATGTTCACCTGTTCCTACATTGAAGACAGAGAATGACTCTAAACACGATCTGCCTTTAATGGCTTTGAACCAGAGTCCATTTAAAAAAATGAACATTTTATTTGAGTTGACTTCTCCTCCCACCGCTCACGCTGCTGTGCATTGATCTCGGTACGTTCTGCTTCCATGGTCTTCGTTTCTTTTGAGTAAAAGAGTTGCGATGACGTTCACAGCTCTTGTGTTCCTTATCTGTGGTCTGATCTGAAACCTGAAGTTGGGCTGCAGAATTTGTCTGGAGGAAACCAGCTCGCCGTATCAAGACACAACACACATCCTGTCCTGGAGGAGGAGGGGGAGGCGCTGTGTGATCGAGGGTGAGGCTGGCAGTGTGACTGAAGGAGAACCAGAGATAGAGGAGGACAGAAAGCAGGAGTAACAAACAAGAAGAGGAGAAACTGGAAAGAACGAGAAAAAGGAGGAAAGAACAGAGCAAAGAGGAGCAGGAGGGAGGAGGAAGGAGGAGAAACTGACTGGACTGGTGAGGAGGACAAGTTAGAAAGTGTCAAAGAAACTGAGACGTGATTATTGATTATTGGTTTGAATAGAATAAAAACAGGGAAAAAATCCGATGCTGAAGCTGAGAACTTTTATTTGTTTAAAAATCTGCTCGGGACATTTAACAAAGACGACAAAAGTTCCTCAGGATCAGCTGTAAAAAGAGTTTTTCTGCAGGTCTGTCAGCGTCTCTCAGGACAAACTGCTTTAAAGGTACTTTTTGTAGTTACCCCTTCGGTCAAATGTAGCTCAGATATTCACCAGGGGGGGGCAGTGTTTGATTGGAGCTGCTAAGAAACAGAAAAACTGTGAAGCGCTGATTTATTGTGTGTCAACAAAAAGCTAACACAGCTTAGCAGTTAGCTGCCTTCATAACCTGATACTGCATGGCTAACATTAGCATTACGGGTTGTCCAGCTGCTTCAGTCGTCGTCTGCTGTAAGAATCTCTGCACACCAGGAGCAAAGCTGCAAACGAGCCACTGTTCATGATCAGTTCACACGGGAGGTTCAGCCTGAGTGAAAGCTGGGATCAGACGGAGTTTAGGTCGTATTTAGGTTTAGACAGAGTCTAGATTGGGTTTAGTTCAGCTTAGGTTAGCTTCAGAGTAGGTCAAATCCTGTCTATGACTATGTTAATCTCAAATAACAAACTGATTTTCTGATCTCTGGACATAGTGACACCATCACCAGAGGGGTGGAGCTAGAGGATATGGCGTTTCAGCTCTGCAGCTGTTGGACTTTGCATCTTTGCATCTTTGTCTTCCTGCTAAGAAATATTTCCTCTGCCCCGTCTTCACAATACACCCTGAACCACAACAAACTCAGCTTCAACAATGCCGCTAAGAAGTGTCCCGGCAGCAGTGTCCTCACCACCATCGCCACCCAACAGGAAGTGGATGAAATCCTCAAGCTCATCTTCAAATCAGCGCCGTTTCAAAACGAGTTCACCTTCTGGGTCGGGCTGAGAATCACCAGCTCAGAGTGTATAGACAGGTCCAAGCCACTGAGGGGATTCAAGTGGTTAGAGAACAACAGCGAGGAGTCAGAGGTGAGCCAATGGGCGGAGGACCCAGAACACACCTGTACCACAGACCGGTGTGCGGCGCTGAAGGGACAGTTTGATGGGTCGAATGTGACCTGGGGTCTGATTCCTTTAAACTGCCATAAGGACAAAAACGCTTTTATCTGCAAAGTGAAGGATGGGGACACCACCATCAGGCTAGGATCAGAGCCACCTCCACCTGAGGACACACCTATAAAACCATCAAAACCACAGCGTGAACCTGGATTGATTAACGACTCTCATTCCGCAGAGCTGCGTTCATGCCAGCGCCCCTCTATCCCCGAGGCTCGCTCACTCAAAATGCTCTCGGGTAACATGAAGATCCAGGTGCAGTGCTGGTCCTCCATTCGTTTTGACCTGGTCTGCTCAGGAGAACCCACCGTGTGGCGATTGGAGAACGGAGCCCTGGCCAACATCACTGCCATCAAAATAGAGTGTGCCAATGCCACGCAGAAAGAGGAGGACTCTGTGTTGTGGTCGACCATCCTGCTCCCTGTGCTGATAGCCACGGGGGTGCTGGTCTTTCTGCTGGTGGTCATCGCGGTGACAGTGAAATGCTGCCTGAACAGGCGGTCAAAGAAACGGGCCATAAAGAAGGCGGAGAAGATGGAGATGAAAAGCAAAAACAGGAAAGATTCCTTCTCATTGGCCTAAACAGCCTAATTGACCAATGAGAAGCCAGGGATACGAGGGAACAGAGCTGTGATTGGCTGTGTTTAGTTACAAAATTGATTGTTTTTCAATTATTGGACATTTTGAAGGCTTTTACCTGTGGACTCAAAATAACCCCTGACCTCTATCACAAACTGCTCACAGGTAGATGTTCTTGAATTCATTATTGGTTAATTTAGAAAAGATCAATAAATTAAGAACTGAGTTAACATCTGATCAGTTTCATCTAAATGACCCAATAAAATTCACGCGTTCTGCCTAGTAGCAGAACAAATAGTTTAAATACTTTTAAATTCATTTTACTGCTCATTTAAATTCACCTGTTTAAATTCTTCTTTATTTAAGAATATACTTAATCTTCATTCACTTCACTGTAAATGTTTAAAGAAAAAGGTCGTTTCACTGCTGAATGACATGGAAGTTAACTTTACTTTGAAAAACTGATGGTTTGGCTCAATCTGCTGATTTCCTGTTTTTGAGTAATCTTTGAATTAAACTTTATTAAACTTTGTTACCTGATGATGCCGGACTTTTACATGTTCATCAATAAGTTTTTTTAAAATGTTTACAAAAACAAAAATTCTTCCACTTCCCAAAATGTCCCAAAGGTATGTGGACACCAGCCTCTATGATCCTACAGTATCACAGCTGTCCACATATTTTAGTGTCTGTGAAGTTCTCGGTCATCCAGGTCATCATAATCTAAGGAGCTCTGAAAAACAGCGTCTTTCTTTTAGATTTCTTTAAGTTTCTTGAAGACGTTTCATCTGAGAAGCTTCTTCAGCTCTGAGAGCAACTGGTGGAGAGTCCACGGCCCTCTCGGGGACACTCCCATAGGGCTTAAATCTGGGACTGTCCACCAGTTGCTCTCAGAGCTGAAGAAGTTTCTCAGGTGAAACGTCTTCAAGAAACTTGTGTCTCTTTTTAATCAGGATGTGGCCCAAATTATTGGAACGTCTGTTGGGATAACTCCAGATCTCTGGAGAGAGGTTAACAGCGAAGTACAGAAGGTCTCAAGTGAATCATAATGACGATGTTTAGCTGTTTCTGGTACAGGAAAGCATCCCTGTGCATCATTATAGGCATAAGTTTGTGGACACCCGAAGGCCAACCTATTGCTGCTGCAATGATGGAAACAGTGAGCTGTCCACATACTTTTGGCCACATGTACCGGGGTTTCTGCAGGACAGCAAGCAGCCACTCTGTGTTTACAAACTGCTTTTCCTGTTTCCTGAAGAACAGCAAAGTTCAGACAGGAAACCGCCCCCACCCCTGACTCAGGGGGAGGTCATGTGACTGATGATCTGATTAATCACGCCTGTGAACAGGAGCTCTGATTTCAGCCCTGGACCCAGTTTGTTTCTGTTTAAAAGACACAAACGGATCATTTAGTCGGTGCAACCAATCAACACATCTGTCGTCCCCTTCAGTAACCAAGTGCATCATGGGAAGTCTGTGTCGATGTTTCTTTACTCGGCTTCTCATCACAAGCCCAGAAACGGCTCGTCAGCAGAGACAAACAGTTCCCCTCCATTTCAGATATTTAGATCAGCGCGCACACACACGCACGCACACACACACGCGCACACACACACACACACACGCACGCACACACACTGGGGGTTGATTGTTGTTATGGTGA